TCTCTTGTGCAGAGAGAAAGGTTGAATGGAAATTTCACTTCTTCCTAAATGTGAGGAAAGAGGAAGAGTTTCTCCTAATATTAGCAGTATCTCAACAGTGTTGGGTGCCCTCTTGGGGTTGGTTATATTTAATTCATAGTGACACAGCTTGCCTGGGTTGAGTGACTTTCCCCAGAAACGTTCAGCTGCATTCTGGACTGATACAGAGATAGTGTTTTCCCAAATGAATATGACAGAGAGAGAGGGACTTGGGAACTGGAGGGCTATTTCCACAGAGCAATTATAATGATATCTCACAGAACCTAAGATGTAGAATAATGTGCAGATAGGTGGACCTGACCCACAAGCTCTGCAGAGTTAATTCCCCCATAACAAACACAAGACCTGATTGAAATCCATTTATTTCTTTTCTTTCCCTTTCTTTTCTTCCCTTTCCTCTAGCTCCTCCTCCCAATTTTTTTCTTTTCATTCACTGAGATTTTCAAGGCCCAGAAGGAAATAGATATAAGGTAACATGTAACAAGATAATAGGGCCAGGGATTTAGCTCAGTGGCACTGTGCCTGCCTCACAAGCACAAGGTCATGAGTTCAATCCCCGGTACCAAAATTTAAAAAAAAAAACCCAAGATATTATCACTTAGAAAGAATCGTTATTCATCATCAACTCTTAAGTTCTTTACAAGGAAAACTCTCCACCTAGTTCCTTTAGAATCTTCTCCCTACCTCCTCATAATACCTTCAAGAACTTCTAGAGACCTAAGGGGAAAAGGTCCAGAGAGAAACAGGTTATTTCCTCACTACTTTGGCAAGACCTGCATTCCAAGTCAAGTTTTTTATTTGAAGACCTGTCTCTTCTCTCACATGATTGATAGCAGAAATGCCCAGTTGTTTTAGGGTACAACTAGATCTGACTTTCAAGCTTAAAAGATTAGATTCTAGCTGGGTGTGGTGGCACACGCCTGTGATCCCAGCACTCGGGAGACAGAGGCAGGAGGATCACCACAGTTCAAGGCCAGGCTGGACTACATACTAAGTTCAGGCCCAGTCTGAACTACAAAATGAGACCCTGTCTCAAAAAACCAAAAGGAAAAAAAAAGATCAGAATTCTAAACATAATGTCCTGACCCAATACAGAAACTAGAGATCAAGTGGGCAAGGGATTTAGCTCGGTGGTTCCACTGCCTACCTCTCAAGCGCAAGGTCCTGAGTTCAATCCAGGGTACCAAAGAAAAAAGAAACTAGAGATCAAATTATTGCATTGAAAATGATAGATGTCTTATCAAGACCTTTTATTCCAACTAATTATTGATAAGGATCATTTTATAAAGTATATTACATATACTTTGCTATGGTTTTATTCTACAAAACTTTGCCAACTAGATTCCAGATGGATTTTAAAAATTAAATACAGGCTGGGTACATGATGCACACTTGTAATTTCAGATATTTGGGCAGCTGAGGCAGGAGGATAAAAAGTTCAAGAACAGCCTGGGGAGCATAATGAGACCCTGGCTCAAAATAAGAATTAAGAAGGGCTGGGAATGTGTGAAAGCCCTGGGTTCAATCTCTAGTAGCAAAAACAAAACAAAAAAAAGCACTAGAAAACATGTTATTTCCTATAGTGTGAGGTGTGCCTCTGCATAAATAAAAACATTTCAGTATTGAGTTTTCAACTACAGAATTGTGTTTTTAAAAATTAAATGTCATGGGGGGGGAATGCTGAAGACTTGATGCAGAATAAATTGAAGCTTTCAGTCAACTAACATAGCCTTAGTTAGGTTTCTCTTATGACAGGGCCCATCTTTCTAAATGCATGTATGTGAAGATAAGTGGTAAAGGATAACAAATTAATTATGCCTCACAATTTTTATAAGGCAATGAACTGCATTATTCTTAGCCTGCCAAAGATAGTGATAGACTTTTTTTTTTTATTAATTTCTGTGCCATACTGTAGCCCTCAAGAAAACCTTGTTAGAAACAGTCACTTGGGAACCTTTTAGGAATTCTGAAGAGAAACTGGGAGGAAGGAAGAATAGAAAGGAATAGTAAAATATTTGCTTCACACTCCAACAACAAAGGTGTTTGTGGTATTGGGTCACTGAACTGAGCCGTGGTTTCAGCAGTGAGGACAATGGAGATTTAGGAAGTTGGAGCATGAAGAACTGCAGACACCCCACTGGCCCTTCAAAAGGCTGGGGTGCATCAGCCAGGTGATCAGATCAGTTTGAGTGAGGAGCGGGACAACTTGGAAACTGACACAAGTTCCCTGGCTCACATGACAGTTAGCACTTCCCCCTCTGACTAATCCAATATAATAAACATTTAATTATATCTCTCATTTACCAAGCAATATGATTATTAGTACATAGGTTAAAAAATGTTTGGCCCTCAAGGGGAGTGAAATTGAGTAGCAGACATACCAGCAAATCTGATCAAGACATTATAAAAGTCGGTATAATCATAAGGGCAGTATGCTAACAGTTCAACAGACTTAGAAGGCATGCCTAAGAAAGGTCAGTGGCAGGAAAGGCTTCTCAGATAATATGATTTTTTTTTTGACAAGGTGTCACTATGTAGTCCAAGCTGGCCTCAAACTCATGATCCTCCTGCTTCAGCCTCACAAGTGCTCAGATTACAAGCTGAAATGATATGATCTTGAAATGACTATTAAAGGAGCAGTAGGAGTTTGCTAGATAGAAAAGGGGTTGAAGATATTCTAGGTAGAGCAAGCAACACAAGTAAGTGCAAGAAACATAAATAAGGGCTGGCATATAGCTTGGTGGTAGAGCACTTGCCTGGTATGCACAAGGTCCTGGATTAAATCCCCAGTATCAAGGAAGGGGAAAGACAGGAAAGGAGGGAGGGAGGGAGGCAAACCCTGCCATCTTGCCTCATGATTCAGCCAGGAAACAGATGGCACAATTGTAGAATAACTAAAAAGAGCTTAATGAAGTGACTGTTTCCAAAGATGTCAAGGGCACCAAAAAGATTGCTGACACATCCAGGAACAGCAACAGTGGGAAGCCACTAACCACTTGCCTAGAAGAGGCAAGGAAGGAGAATGTATCATCAAAATCTGGTGACAAGGCTGAGGCAGGAGGATCTTGAGTTCAAATGTAGCCTGGGCTACATACCCAGTTGCTGTCTAAAAAAAAAAAAAGCCAGGTGACAGCCTAGCTATGGGAGACGCACTCCCCCAACAGTAATCTTGACTAGACGCAGAAGAATACAACCACAGCCCAACAGAGACAAAAAGGGGGAGAGGTATTGTGATGGCTGTGTCTAGATATCCCCAAAGCCTCATGTAGTCATAGGTGGGGCTTTTCGGAGGTGCCTGGGTCTAGGGTGTGTGCTGCTTGGATTAAGGATGTGATGCTGGAATTCATTCATGGTGCGATGCTAGGATTAAGGCTACCCCACTCTAGGTGTGAGTATGGTGGGTGGCCTGGATAGGATATAAGGGACAGAAAGAGGTTCGCTGCTGGTCACTTGTAGCTTGCTTCTTGCTGCTTTTCTGCCTTCTGCCTGCCATGAACTGTTTCTCCTCCATGATGCCCCTCTTCTATGCCACCCTGCCTTGGAGCCAGCTGACTATGAATTGAAACTTCTACAAACTGTGAGCCAAATAAACCTTTCCTCCTTTAAATTTTGGCATTGGGTATTTTGTCTCAACAATGAGAAAAGTAAATAAGACAGATACCCTGATTTCTCTTTCCCCCAGTGTCCAGCCATTAACCCCTCTGGGCTGTACCCCACTGCAAGGCAGAGGGCAAGGGAATTCAGGGAAGCTTTCTTGTACAGACAAGCTTCCTGAGATCTGGAGCAGAGTGGAGGCTAGATCTGGGGGAGCAGAGAATCATTCCTTAGCACATCTCACGTTCATATCCAGGTCCAAACAATATTCTGGTTCTTGAACTGGTTTAACATAAGAATAGACCTGTAACTAACACTGGAACAAGTCTGTCTTAGTTGGTACAAATTTCCTTAGAACAAAGGACTTAAACAATGGAAATTCATTTTTCATTGTTTTGTAGGCTGGAAGTCAGGTGAGATCAGGGTGCCAGCATTGTCAAGTTCTGGTGAGGGCCTCTTCTGGGTTGCAGACATCCATCTTGTAACCATACACTGTACAAAGAACAACAGAGAGCCCTCTAGTGTCTCTTTTCTAAGGTCACTGATCTCATTCATGAAGACTTCACCTCACAACCTGGATTACATCGCAAAGGCCTTAGCTTCTAACACCATCATATTAGGGATTGGGATTTCAACACAACAGTTGTAAGGAACACACATTCAGTCCATGATACTGTCCTGATTTTCCTAAACCGTTAGAGGAGGGGTTTGAATTACATGACAAGAAGAGATTCTTAAGATCTGGTCTGCTGTGCAATCCCTGCCCTTCTCCAATCCTTTTTTTTTTTTTTTTTTGGTACTGGGGATCGAACTCAAGACCTTGTCCTTACAAGGCAGGCTCAGTGCCACTGAGCTAAATCCCTGGCCCTTCTCCAATCCTTCTGTATGCCTACTTTTAACCATGAAGGTATAAAATTATTCAATGGATATTTAAAAACAAGTAATCATAAGACAATGCAAGATGACATACCATATAAGTGCTTATGTACCTATCTAAACATTACTAATTCATTTATTTATTTTAGACAAGGTCTCACTATGTAGTTCAGTCTGACCTTGAACTCACTATGAAGCCCAGGCTGGCCTAGAGCTCATGGTGATCCTCCTGCCTCAGCCTCCTGAGTGCTGGGTTTACAGACAATGCGCTACTACACCCTGCCTAACCATTACTACTTTAACTTTCTGGTAAACAGGTTTACATATTAGTCTCATAAAATAGTGTTCATTTACAACACTTCATATTTAATTTTAAATTCTAGTTAAATCACATTTAACTAGGTATTTTCAAATTTTATTATGGTGTTACATTGTTTGAAGGAGGGAAAAATAACATGTCCTTATACAGCCTGTTTCTCTTTATTTTTCAGATCAATAACTCGATCCTATTATCGCAACTCAGTTGGTGGATTTTTAGTATTTGACATTACTAACCGACGATCTTTTGAACATGTGAAAGATTGGCTAGAAGAAGCAAAAATGCATGTACAGCCATTTCAGATTGTATTTCTGCTGGTGGGACACAAATGCGATTTAGCTTCACAACGTCAAGTCACAAGGGAAGAAGCTGAAAAACTGTCTGCAGACTGTGGAATAAAGTATATAGAAACCTCTGCCAAAGATGCAACAAACATTGAGGAATCCTTCACAATCTTGACCCGAGACATTTATGAACTTATTAAAAAGGGAGAAATTTGTATTCAGGATGGTTGGGAAGGGGTTAAAAGTGGTTTTGTTCCAAATACTGTGCATTCTTCTGAGGAAGCAGTGAAGCCCAGGAAAGAGTGCTTCTGTTGACTTCAAAAAAGCCAAAGAAGTAACCAGAACAGATTTGTGTCATTTCAGGATAACTACCAACATTAACAGCAGAGTGTGCAATGAAAGCATTTTAAAAAGTTATAAACCCGCACTAACACTATTTTGTAAGCTTTTTGATTCAGAGCATTGTGCTTAAGTGTTACACTACCGAATTGGGTATTTTGCTAAATTATCGGGCAAAGCTGACAACTTTATCAAAACTGGAATATCTACATAATTTCTTACATTTTCATTTTGTTAGCATATATCTGACCTCAGTGTTCAGATATGTTAATATCCACTTTTCTTAGATTTTTGTAAACATATAGTCTGGTTAAAAATTTTTTATCAGGAGTTATATTCTCTTCAGTTACTATTGAATAATGATGTGTATTTAAAAGTAAACTGTTTATGTGCAAAGTAAACAATCTCAGAAATATTGACTAGGAATAAAATAGCAATTTCTTGTTTAAAGCACCAAGTTTTTTACCATTCTCAGAAATACTTATCTTCCCTTACTCTTGCTTGAACATAAGAAAATAAGTTTTATACTCATTTTTGTTACCTAATTTATTGCTCCTGAAAATTTTATGTTTTATAAGATATCTAAGGATTCAAACAAAATATTTTAGGCAAATATTTGAAAACAACAAAAAGGACCACTCAGAAGCAAATGTTTTGATGTTATAGTATACTGTCCAAATTTAGGCAAAAAAACCAAAATTTATTTATATACTGACTTTTTTTTAAAATACAGTTTACTTTGAACTATCATCAAAATTATCAATATAGCAATAGAATGTTTTTAGTAACAGCATTTTTGTCCAAGTAAATTTTTTAATTTTCCCATTTCCAACATAAGAGTGTACAAAAGTTTTTTCTGGACAATGAAAATGAGTTACTAGATCCTTGATAGATTTAGCATTCAAACAGGATTTTACAATCTTATGAGTACAAGGGAAGATAGAATAATCAGTTAAGGAAATAAAATGACTTGCAAGTTTCCTAATTTTTTAAAACTCCTCCCTTGGAAGGAACCTTTAGATCACAATGTCAAGTATTTTATAACATAAGTGTCTGCTCTGATCTGTAAATTGTTACTAAGTACAAAGGGGCACCAAATGAAGGTACCTTTTTGGAATCACGACTTTTTTTGCTCTTTGCTTTGTGCTGTTAAACTATAGTTGTTTAATTTGTTTGAAAACCAAAATGGTACAGTACAAAGAATACTAAACAAGAAATCCAAAAACCTAGTTCTAAACTTGCCTTGGCTGTTCCAAAATTTGACTATGAGGAAGGATGTCAGTTGATCTCTTTAAGCATCATTTTTCTCATCTGTAAAATGGGACAAGTAACCCATTTATTGAGCTTTATGAAGTTACTTTGAGAATCAAGTGAATCATGTGGGGAAAAAAGCTTTGTAAACAGAGAGAGCATTATACGATGTGAGATTGGCGTCAGCTTCTCGTGGACCTCCCATTATATTTATAGTGGGTGAGAACTTGGTTTTCTCATGTTCTTTCTTTTCATTTGTGTGCAGAAGGAGCTGAAGATACATGTTTTCATGGACCTAGGAAGAATTCTTGGTTGGTGTTTACCCTTTGCCCTTTTATCCTGAACCACTCCTTCTCCAAAGCAGAAATGATAGAGGGGGAAATTCGTGGAGAATTAATTCAATCAAAAATCATGCTTGAATGTGGTTTTTTGTGCACTTTTCAAATAGATGTTTAATTGTATTATCAAACACTTTTTCATTTTCTAGTTTCATGTATTTCTAGTAGTGCTTATGAAAAGAAGAATATAAATGACAATGGACTATAAAATTTCTGAATATTTAGTGTCAACTTTTTTAATACCCTTAGGTTAACATTACATAAGTGAATTCAAACTATAGTTGGTCAGATGGAAAAATACAAATACCTGTCCCCCAAAATGTGAAGTCTATTTTTGCTGCTACAATTTAAAATCTTATATTACAATCTTCCATCAGTTCAGAATGGCATAAGCTCAAATATTGTATATCTAACAGTAGCTTAAAGTACAGTCCACCTGTGCCTGCTAGTAAAGTTAAGCAGCTAAAATATAAAATGTGATTTAACTTTCAGTGGACAACTTTTATAATACTTACATTGGATGAGACTAATATTTGGACTAAGGGATATGCTGTATTCCCAGATTTAGCATAGAATTAAGGAACTAGAGAAACAAATAGGAAGACAAAGCCCCAAAAAGTTGGTATGTGAATAAATATAAGCAAGCCTAGAACTCTAGTCTTTTAAAACTTGGATTGCCATGCTCTGTTGTGTGTATGCACACGTGTGTACATATGGATACACTTGAGAGATGTAAAAGAATGGGGAAATATGATCTAACTGAATCAACAAGATAGTAAAATTGGGCTAAATCATTTTTATGTTTTAGAGGAGCTGTTTGTGGGAAAACAGTCATATGGTGAATGATGACTACAAAGATTTGAGTTTTTAGACAAGATTGCCAAACATCTGTATACCCTTAGCCAGATATCTTTATCCATATATATAATAGCTGATTTATTTTTTTAGACATCATAGAGAATATGGTAAATAGTAAATATTAGTAAAAATATTTACTCCAGGAAAATCATTTTGACTAAATTTCTTAGAAATCAGATGTACTGGATTTTATATTAAAATCACTGGGCTTAAAATTTATTTAATTTAGAAGTTGGAGATGTAGGTCAATGGTAGTGTTTACTCAGGGCCCTGCATATGATCCCCAGCACCACACACCAAAAATATATATACATATTTAATTTAAACTTAACCATGCTTAAATTAAAAATGTAAAACAAATAATATAACAAATTACCAAATATTTTAAGTTTGTGTAATCTTTAAAAAGAAATGAAAAACTGTCCAACTGTACAGGAAACTTGCCCCTGATAGAAATTTCTCATCTTGAGCTGCATTAACATTTCCAGTACATATAGTGATGAGACAGTTTATTAAATGGTCCACCTCAACCACAATTTTTAAGTAATCAGAATGCTTTTAGATATGGCCTTTATATGCATAACAGTAGCAAACAAGATTTCTTGAGTCTGAAAACTTAAGAGTTTACTCTAGGTTTCCAAAAGCATGAAGCCCTCCATGACGTGTGTGTGTGTGTGTGTGTGTGTGTGTGTGTGAACCAAAATGATCTTTTATATTATTGTTAAGATAACTTTATCAAAATAAAGTCTTTTTATCAAACTTTACATCATTAAGAAATTGAGTCTATGGATTAATAAAATCACTTTAAGAGTATTTTTGTCAGGTTTTATACTGCTCTTGGTTCAATTAAAAGCCAAGTTTCCATTAACTTCAGAGTGCACTGGGTTTGAATAATTCCTTGGGTCTTACATAGTAAGAACTCACAAGACTAAAGGTCCATTTCATAAGCTTACTCACTTGATTCCCAGGAACCACCTGGAAAGATTTAGCTTGAAAATGCAAAGAAGACATAATCTTTAGGAGAGAAAATAAACAACTACCAAGTATTTAGAGTTAGATCCTTTGTATTTTAAAATAGTACATTCTCAGCTTTAAGCTAAGTCTTGGAGATTTCATGATTGATAAGTAGCCATCTCTGCTTTAGAATCTTTCTAAATCTCAGTGTTTTCACCAAGCTTTCCTAAGCAACCAATTTTCACCTGGTTGTGAAATAATAAACAACAAATTCTCCTAAATCTGAGTAAACTGCTGCATGGCCTGTTATTCCTATAATGTTAATAACTGATGCAAGTAGACACATGAATGATGAGCTGTGACAATCTATATCAATCTTTACACAATCTAATTCACTTACTGCACATAATCATGGTAGAAAATAAGTGAAAAAGAAAATTTTGAAGTTATGAAAAATTAGCATACCTTGTTATCTCCCTGAGTAATTTTTTGTCTTTTTAAAAATAGTGCCTAGGGCCAGGGATTTAGCTCAGTGGTTCCGCTGCCTGCCTTGCAGGCGCAAGGACCTGAGTTCAATCCCCGGGACCAAAAAAAAAAAAAAAAAAAATAGTGCCTAATACATTGTCTTGCCTATGTGACATTCAGTAACTATGAATTGATGGTTATTATTTTGAGTTAATCCTATTAAATGTGAGTTTTACACACTTGATTGCAATTTAAAATCCCATCAAAGAATAAACATGTTTTTCTATCATCATTTCTTGGCATTTTTATTTTTCAGAATGACAACCAGTGGAAATAAGATATGGTATAAACTTTTCAGTGTGTCATTAATGTTATTTGATTTTAAGTAATGAATAAAAAGAATGAGAATAAGATTGTCACAAGATTATTACATTATTCATCTTTCGCTCTTTAGTGGTGCTAAAACAAAAGCAACCGTTTAGCTGCAATTGCACCTGTGTATGTATTCACAAGTAAATTTCAAATTCAGAGATCTGCAATTCCATATACATTGCATTAGACTGTGGGACAAAACTCCATAACCAAACTATTTACATAGCAAAATGTGTAAGGAAAAGAGATAAGTGATGTGTCATTGAGTTCAGGTCAGTTTTTGCTGCCAAATGCGTCATAAAAAGAATTTTATTGCTGAGTGCAGTGATGTGTGCCTTAATTTCAGCTACTCAGGAGGCTGAGGCAGACTCAACCCTGCCTCAAAAACTAAAAGAATGAAAAAGAGCTGGGGATGTAGTGGTAGACCTAGCAAGTGCAAAGCCCTGATTCAAGCCCCAAAATCTCCAAAAAAGGGAAAAATTTTAGAATTTCAGGTACTTACGGATTTCAGAATTGTGGAAAGGAATCCTGGCTAGGTACTATCCCTTAGGAGATATTTTGGAATTTGTGACTTTTCTCTAGTTGGTTCATCTTTGTCCTGCTTCAGCCTTGCACATAGTAGGAGCTAATTAAATTTTGAATTCATCTGTTTGATCACCTCTGCACATATAGCCAATCACACAGGCAGAATGTTTACAACAGTGCTTGGCACATAGTAAGCACTTGATAAATGTCACCTTTTAGTATTATAACCACCAAGTTTTCAACAAGCCAGTTGTAATCTCCATAGTTAGCCAGAAATGAATTGTTGTTAATAGCCATCTTGCTAGTCATTTCTAATGGTCACAATTCTTTGAAATGATCTCCTAGAGTCAGAAAAAAACTGCTTTAGTATTAGCCAAGTGTGGTGGTGTACACCTGCAATCCCAGCACTCTGGGAGGCTGAAGCAGGAGGATGACAAGTTTGAGCCCAGCCAGGGCAACTTAACAAGATTGTCTGGGCATGGAGGTGCATGCCTGTAATTCCAGCAATCAGGAGGTGAGGCAGAAGCCAGCTTGGGATATTTAGTGAGTTCAAGGCCATCCTGAAGTACATAGCCACACCTTATCTCAAAAGAGGGGGGGCA